CACCCACCACAGACCCTACCTTATGGCCAGAAGTCATGTCATTTTGGGGCTCACCCTTCTTTTCTAGAACCTTTGGGAGTGCAGCATGCTCCCATGCTATTCCCCAGGAATGGCCGCCAAGTGGGCAGGCAAAGACTGCTGGGTAAAAGGCATGATGGCTTCTAGCTCAGTCCCACCTGGCCAGCTGCCCTCAAGCCATGCCCCCTCCCTGAGTGTTTCACCTTTACACTACAGACCCTGCCTCAAAGAACAGGATGTCCAACTAAGACATCACATCTGAGGCCTGGTACAGGCTTGCCCATTAGATGTTCATCTTGTTTTCCTTGCCATCTCACAGCCACCGAGGTGTGCCCTGGACCCATGGGCCTGGAGGGAGGTGGCTGTGTTGAACAAGCTCCTTCCAGACAACAGAAGGTTGAACTCAAAACACTTGCCCACTTTCACCAAGGTGGGGCCGGCCGTGTGCCACCAGCTTTGGGCACAGCCCTGCTGCCCTGGGCTGGGCTGGGCTGGGCAGCCTATCTGTGGGACTACTCAGTGACACATCACTGCCTCAGGCTGGCCCGTGCTGCTTGAGTCCACTCTGGCCAACAGCAGGGGACCAGGACCATGAGCATCTCACAGCTGGCAGAGACCTTGAACCCATCAGCCACTGTCAGAGTGTTCCCAGCTGTTTCGGGAGCCCCAGGATGGCAGGGCTGTGGCGCAAGAAGAGACAAGGTGTTCCCAGTGTTGGGACAGACAGAAGGACCAGAAGGCCCCCTGTACCCTCAGAACAGACCTCAGGCCTGACTCCTGCCCTGGCTAAGTCCCCACCCCCACCCCTACGCCCCTCTGAGGCTTTCCCATGGAATCTCTGGGTGGGTTTGGATTCAGGCCACAGGAACATGTATCGGAAGCTCAGGAACAGGAAACGCTGTGTGGCCTTGGCTGGCTTTCCAGGCTGTGGCCTTCAGCCGGCTGTGCCCGGGGTATTGCAGCCACTGAAGGCTTCAATGAGATGAAAATGGGAAGGGCCTTGGTCCCCAGGGTTGGCAGGGACTCTTCCTCCCTCCTTGGCTAGCTGCCTCTAAAACCCTCCACGGAGCACATTTATGGACAGGTCCTGCCTGGGTGGACACCACATCTTCAAATCCTGTTTGGGGCTGTGAGTGTCCAGCCTCAGCTATAGGGCTGAGAGGGCAAGGCTTGACCACTCTGGGAGAGGTGGGGCAAGGAGTGGAGGAAAGGTGTGAGATGTGCACACCTTTCTCAACTTGCTCCTCCTGCCACATCCTTAGTGCTAGGGGTGGTGTTCCAGAGTCATGGAGAGGGTATAGAAGGGTCCTGGCTAAAGCAGGGTCACAGCTGGGTCGGCTTGTGGCTGTATTCCCATCTTCTGCAAATGCAGAGGCGCCTCTGGCAGAGGAAACAGCTACCCACCCCAGAGAGAAAGCCAGCTAGCGCCTGCCACCACACAGCACTCTGGGGAGGAACTGAGTCAAAGAACGCAATGGGAGGGGTCCAAGGACAGTGGATGGGGGATGGGCTGAGGGACGTGGTTCCCCAAGAGTCCTCTGACTCCTTCCCTAAAATGCAGAGAATATCTTGTTCTCCATGTCCCTCTCTCGAAGGCCTTATTTGCTGGGCTAATAGCCTCCCCAACTCTGTCCCCTGTCCCTGACCTTGACCCAGAGGCATGGGGCTCTCTGGGGAGGTTCCATAAAGATCCATGCAGCCCTGGGCTGCAGCAGGAAATCCTGAAGCCAGTGTACAATACATTAGCTCGGGCCACCCAGGGGTCCCCAGACACAGGACTAACCCATTAGACCCTCCCCACCCCTCCGCTGGTTCTGTGGCCTTGACCATGCAAGATTGTTCAAGGAGGACAGACTGTCCTTTCAGTCAGTGGGTCAGGGACAACCAGCTGTCCACACGCAAAAGGATGAAGTTAGGGCCCCACCTCCTACACAGTATAGAAGCTAAGTGAAGATGGAGCAGAGATCTGCAATGAGAAAACCGTTGATGAGCCTAGAATTCACCAGGAGGGCTCTGTGACCACAGAGAGGGTGACGGCGACAGAGCTGCCGTCAGGGCTCAGTGGTTAAGGGCACCTGCTGCTTTTGCAGAGGGCTCGGGTTCAATTCCCAGCACTGCATGGCAGCTCACAGATGTCCGTGTAACGCCTGTTTCAGGGGCTCTGATACCATCTTCTGGCCTCTGGGGACACCAGGCATGGAAGAGATGTACACATACATGTGTGTAAAACACCAGTCTACATGAAATAAAATAAACCCAGAGAGAGAGACAGAGAGACAGAGAGAGAGAGACAGAAAGAGACAGAAAACTGGTAGGCCTGGTGGCACAGGCTTGTCATCTCAATTACTCTGGAGGCCCTGAATTCTTTCCCACATGGTGGGGGAGGTGTTTTTTTGTTTTTGTTTTTGTTTTTTGAGCCAAAAGACAGACTATAGAATAAAAAAATTTAGAGCACGTGTTTACAGCTTCATAGTGAAAAGTCAATAACCCAATTAAAAAATGAGCAAAAAAAAAAAAAAAAAATCATTTTTAAGACCAGTGGCAAGAAAGGACATTGGTCACTATGGAAAGGGCAGCAAGTGGTGAGTAGAAGATTGCCAGGGATGATCTGGGGGTTCCTCAAAAGGTTGACGCTGCCACTGGAGCCAGCCGTTTCTCCGCACCCACACACGCCCACACAAACACAAACATCCACAGCAGTGTTAGTCACAACAGTCAGAATCGGGAACAACCAAATTGCCAACAAACCGAGAATAAATACAATGTGGTCTGTCCGTGCGTGGGAAAATTACTTAGCCATAGAAAGGAGTGAGGTCTGTGGCAGGTGTTACCACAGGGAGGACCCGGGACTGAGTGAAGGAAGCCAGAAGTAGGCAACGCAGTTCGCAGGACCCATCCGCTGAGATGTTTAGAACATGAACATCATGGATGGGCCAGGGGTGCATAAACCTAGGGATAGGGGAGGTGGAGGGGAATGGGGACGGATTGGCGCTCACAGGAAGACACTTCAGGATTCACTGGTCTCCAGGCCGCCCGCCTCCACAGCTGCGCTGGGAAGTGCGGCTCTGCACTTAGAGGCCTGGGGGGGAGGGGGGACACACAGATTAAACCTCATAAGCCTCCAAAGGAGACCGATTTCCAGCCGGCTCAGTCCCCTGCTGACCAAGTCCCTCCTCTTCCATCCACCTCCCTCTGGGCTGAGCTCTCTACTCCTCAACCCCCCGCCCGCCCGCCACACACACATGCACTTTGGAACACCCTCTCACTGCTGGCAGGCGAGCTCACTAGAGTGACAGAGAGGCAGGCCAGACCCCTCTGTGAGGACATACTGTGAGCATACCGTGCTCAGCTGTCACCCACCAGAGCCAGTTCACCCGAGGTCAAAACAGTATCCAGGAAACCCAGGCTCCAGTACCTGCCAAGACAGGTCCGTAAAAGTCAGCCATCTTGGCATAGCCAAGGATGGCCCTGAGGGATAACCTGCCTCCGAGGCTCCTGGGGGTGGGGGGGTCAACCAAGGTTGCACTGCTGCTCTTCCAAGGGTGTTCCCTAGCAAGTGTCTACCTGTCACTTCTACCTCAGTGCCTTCCAGGTGCTGGGAACCCCACAGAGGCAGAAGACCCCAGGAGCTCGTGGTCCAGCAGGGGGCCAGATGCAGCCCTGAGGGTGCAGGGTGGGATACAGGCCTCCCAGTAAGGCTGTTCATGTCTCACTATCGGCCCCCTCCGCCCCCATACACACACACACACACACACACACACACACACACACACACATGCACACACGCACACAAGGGCCAAGCCTGGTGCTGCTCCATCTCGTTCGTGTTTGCCTCCCGTGGCCCATCCTGGGACGTGGGCCAGCATGGCTGAGTGCCAAGGAAATTCAAACATTCCGCATCCCATTCTGTGAACCCCCCCCCAAGCCCCCACTCCATGCCAGCATTTCTCTCTAGAGTGATTTGCCCTTAGGGGACAGTTAACGAGACCAGGAGGCGACAAATCTGTTAGTTTGCTCTGAGGGAGTGTAGTGCTGATGGTGCTACTGGCATGGAGCAGGCAGAGGCCGGGGACCCAGCTCTGGAGACCGAACACACTCAGAGCCTGAAGAATCCAGCTTGGTGACCGTGGTGCCTGACCCCAAAGCTGGCTTCATCTCAAAGGCATGTTAGGATAGGGGGACCTCACCAATACTCCTTACAGAGAGAGGCAGAAAGAGATGACATTATACACGAACGAGGCTGCATATTAAGTTAAACCTTCCCAGGCTGGACCTTATGGGGACATGGATCTGAACAAACCCCACCCCACAACCGTGGCTTGTGGGCCACGTGCCACCTAGGTACTTATAAATGCCACCCAACACCAAACTGTAAACGTACTGAAAGGATCATGCACTGTTTTTACCATTAAACATTTTTTAAAGATTTATTTATTATGTGTACATATTCTGTCTGCATGTACACCTGCACGCCAGAAGAGGGCACCAGATCTCATTATAGATGGTTGTGAGCCACTATGTGGTTGCTGGAATTGAACTCAGGACCTCTGGAAGAGCAGCCAGGGCTCTTACCCTCTGAGCCATCTCTTCCGACTCCATTAAAACTTTTTTTTTTTTTTAACTTACAGGCATTAATATGCACATGCAACTGACCAAAGCTAAGATGCCAGAAGATGGGACATATTGGGCACAGCCTGCTTTCTCCAACAAGCCCCAGTGGGTGGCTAGTCCTGAGGTCAACGGACTCAGCTCAAATCACAGCTGTGGCTGAAAACAGGGGTCTCTTCCCACACAGCCTGTCTCTCCTATTTTATTCTCCACACACCGTCCCGTCTGCCTCATTTAGGTGCTGAAGCTTGAACTCAGGGCTCCCCAAAGTGGACAGCTCTCTACTGGGATCTCCACTCCCAGCCCCGCTGCTCTGTCAACAAACAACCACGTCATCAGTGGCCTGGCTGCTGAATCCCTGCCCCCCCCCCCCCCCGCAAGATGGGGCTGTTTTAAACACGTTAGGAAGCCAGGCATGCAATGGCTCTCTACCCTGCGACCTTCGCACTTGGGAGGATGGAGGGTTCAAGGGCAACCTGGACTCTGTAGTGAAGCTCTCTCCAAAAGACACAGAACAAAGTGAAAGCACTTTTCAAGGTAGGTCATTTCTGCCACAGCGCTGTGTGTTCCAGGTGGGACTTGGCCTTCTCACTCCTACAACCGCCAAAGTTGACAGAAAGAACGCTAGCTCAGCAGGAGAAAATGCTTGTCCAGAAAGCCTGACGACTGGAGGTTGGGTTCCAGAATCTATGTAAGGGTGGAAGAAGACAGCAGAGTGCACACAGTTGTCTCCTGGCCTACACATATATGCTGCAACACACACACACTAATAATGCAGATTAAAATGCTTCTTAAGTTTAAGGTTCTGCTCTTGGTAATGTCCTTCTAAAGGCTGAGGTGGGAAGGCCGCCTTATGCAAGGCAGGACCTGGATGACCCTGAACATCAGCCCCACAGAAGATGGAGTCAACTCGGCTCTAAAGTCAATGCTCCCTCTACTCAGCTTGAGCTCTTCCTCTGAGCCCTGCCCTATGTCCTCAGGCCACCTACCTGTCTCCATGTGATCTCTTCAGGACTGTGTAGAATTGGGGCCTTGAAACCAGCTCTCTGGCCAACACTGTGTCAGTGATCTGGGATGAGAGGGCAGCCAATCGGCCCCCGTGCTATCCCAGCCTGCCACTGTTAACCCCGCTGACCCCCAGGTGGAGGCCTGTTCCTGGTCTGCAGGTGAAGAGACTGTACTGAGGTCATGTGGCCAGAAAGGAGTGTGGCTGGCACAGTAGCATGAAGCTGTGCTGCCCCTCGCTGCCTCCCCCCACCCCCCACATGCACAGTACAGTGCTGGAGATGACACTCATTCAAGAGATGCCCACTGGCTTCACGGGGCCTGGCTTTATCTCTGCTGCTGTGAGAAGACATCCTAAGCACAAGGCAGAGGAGGAAAGGGCTACTTAGGCTACCCTTCCGGGTCACAGTGCCATCAAAGTCAAGGTAGGAACTCAAGCAGCTAGTTACATCACAACCACAGTCAAGTGCAGAGAGAGAGAGATGAGATGAGGACCCCGTGCTTTTTGCTTGCGGGCTTCGTGCTCAGCCAGCTTTCTTTATTCAGATACAGTTCGGGGCCCAGCCTAGGGAATAGCTCCACCCACGATGGGCTGTGTGGATTAACAGTCTAGACAATGCCTCACGGACATGCTCAGAGGAAAACCGGATCCAGATGTCTCCTCTGTGGAGGCTCTCTTCCCAAGGGATTCTAGGCTGTGGGAAGTTGACAGCTGAAATGACTGGCCCAGAGCTGTCAGGACAGAGGCTCTGTCCAGGCTGTCCCCCACCTTTCCTGGCACCAGCAGCCACAGCTCACACCTTCCAGAGTCCCAGGGACCCTAAAGTCCTCCACGTCTCTGAGTCCAGGCCTACCACAGCCCTGTCCAGCATCTCCTCACCAGAGCCAAGGGGAACACAGCCTCTGGGTTCCCTGAGGGTTTTCCATCTCTGTGCATGGCCCAGTCCCCTGCTGGGAACACCTTCCCTCCCCTCTGTCTCATCTCCCCCATTTTCAGCTTCTCCTCCCAGAAGTCCACCCACAGCACCGTCCTTTCCAGCTTTAATGGTCGCGGTCCTCTGCTCTCTGCCCTGCCTGGCCTTGTGTTTTCTCTGCATGACCCACTAGGCTTCCTGATGAGGGAGCCACGCTTCAGCTGCTCCTGCTTCAGCCCACAGAGTGCCCTCCCCATTGCCATGAGCAGACCCCGTCCCTCCAAGTTCCTTGGGCCTCCCTCACCGAGGCCAGAAGGGCATCTCTTTCCATCCAGGAGTCCACCAGGCTGCTCTGTGCCCCGGGGCCTTTGCACATGCCATTCTTGCTGCCTGGGGCATTGGCCTGCTCCTTATAGGACTGAGTGGCTGGAAGAGAGAACCACTGGCAGATGGGTAGACAGAGGTCTCCAGTCCCAGGCCCCTATGGACAGAGCAAGTGGGTTTGAGGCAGGAGCTAGAGGAGCTGCTACAGGCCCCAGCCAGGATCTCCCCTCAGCCTGAGGGCTGGGAAACCCCCTCTACTCTATTTCACTCTGGTAGCAAATGCTCACGATCCCTATCCCAGAGATCTGGGGCCAGAGCTGGATGCCTGCCATCAAGCTGGTCTTGTCCTTAAAAGGCCTGTGAGAGTGTGTAACACGGTACGGTGTTGCAGGGGGTCACAGCCACTCCCAGCCCTTGTCTCTAAAGTAGACACAGGGTCTCTGGAGAGCCCTGTAATCTGCTCAAGCCGCCACCTCCAAGGGGATCCTTGGATGGGCCCCTTGAGTTAGACAGGGAAAGTCAGGAGAATGAGAGAAGAGAGAAGAAAGGAGGGGCAAGAGGAGGAAAGAGAAGGTAAGATAGCAGCGGGAAAGGAGAGAGATGGGGACAGAGAAGAGAGCATGGGAGAAAAAGCAGGAAGAGAAGAAAAGCGTAGAAATGAGGGGCCAGTGCCCTTGCCTCGGGCGTCCCCAGCCACCCCGGGCCTGCTGGGGACCTGGCGGCAGCCCCAGCTGGAGCCCTGCCCCGAAGCCTCGCCTCTCCTGGACAAGGCTGGTTACACAACGGTGGAGGCCAGCGTCCAGCGGGCTGTCACGTGGGTGCGGGGGGGGCTGCTCCCCCGGCGTGGCTGGGACTCAGCTCCAGCCTGGAGGCCAGAGCGTTCCCAGATGCGCTGGCGGCTGTAAAAGGCTCTGGTTCCTGTCAGCAGCAGGGCTCCGGGAGGGGACCCCCAGCAGCAGGCCGGCCAGATGGCTGCAACATGCTCTCTGGTGACAGGGCCGGGATACACAGGGGTGTCCTTGCGCCCTCTCCTGGACACAGTGCAGGACCCTCTTCCCCTTGCCTGCCCTCCCTCCACCCTGCAGGGCTCTGAGTTAGACTTGGGGAGTCCGCAGCACCCCAAATCCTGTTCCTTACTTGGAGGTGGTGTCCCTGACCAGGTACTGTTCCCCGACTGCCTCTCAGCATCTGGGCATTTGCCCAGCTCAGTAGTCTGCCCCTGTGCCTTAGCAACAAGGGAAAGCATATGGCCCATCTCCAGCCAATTGCAGGCCCCCATTTTCTCAGCAACTATGATTGGTGCAGAGGTGGGCATGTGATCCAAACAGGCCCAATCAGTGTCCTTCCCTGAGGTCTTTCTAGGTGGACTCAGGTGGATCAGACCTGGGAACTGCAATGCTAGACCACTAGCCTTTGGGCGCCCATCTTTCTGTCTGGTTCCCCAGTGAGGCTAGAGCTGACTGGGTTTATACCGCTGGCTAGGGCAGGCGGCTCACATGGCCCAGGCAGTGGAATGGAGGAAGCGACACACAGGGCAACTCAGTGGCTATGAGCGCCAGAGCTGTGTGTGAAATCACAGCAGCTGCAAGAGGCCGCAATGGAAGCCCAGGAGGAGCCCTTACACCGGGGCCTGAAGGCTGCAGCCTGGAGTCCATTCCCTTGGAAGGAGGGTCTGGAAGGGGTCACAGTAGAGCAGGCTGGCTGGCAAAATCAAAGAGGAAGCAGGGCCAAGCCAAGATCTGGCCTCGGAAGAGGTCGTCCCTCCGCCCTGCGCAGGCCTTTCTGGGTCTTCTTCACCTCCCTTCTCTGCAGTGTGAAACACCTGGTGTTCTTGCTCCTCATGACAGCCCTGTGGGAGTGATGCTAGGATGGCTAACTGAAGTGCCTGTTTAACGTAGGAGAGCGGGAGCTGGCGGTTAGGTTCTCCCGGCATCCCTCAGTCCCCTACCCTGAACTCTCCAGCCCAAGGCCTGGGACGCCCTTCCCCTCATAGCTCTCCCCTATATAATTCAGCTAGTTTGGTTACCAGGCCAGCCGTTTCACCCTTTCGCCCTCTTGGCTGCTGCACCTGCTTCTCCCCTCTCCCTCCTGCCTCTCCCCTCCCCCTCCCTCTTCTCCCCGCCTGGCCTGGCTCAGGGTCATGTTCATTCTGGACTCTCCCAGATGTCTCTGCCTCTGGCTATGTTCTCCCTTTTATCTACAGTAAACCTGCACCACCATTCCTGGGAGCGGTCATGTCCTTCCTTTTTATTTTATTTTTTTTTCATTCCGGCAGAAGCCGTTCTGTTCATTTTACAGAGGAGGAGAGCAAGAGTCCCAGTGACTGCCCCCCCCTCCCCACAGCACAGTTGCCCTGGGATTGACAGAGCAGAGTCTGGGATCTGGCTGGTCCCAGGCCAGCTCTTTCCTCCTGACCAGCCTAGCATCCAACGAGGGTAGCAACCATAATCCCTCGTGTTGCCCCTACCCGACGCCTCTCACCCGGCAGTGGCCTCCCAGCCTCTCCCTAGCCTCCCTCCTCTTGGCCTTCATCTTCTCCTCACTGTGCCAAATTCACAGAGACAAATGTCCCAGGTTGTGAATGGTCACACTCACTCTCTTCCCCCAGGTATGTCCCGGAGAAGCCCAGAGGAGGGCCCCTCATAGCCTCTTCCCTCTAAGGACTGTGTTATGACCCCCGCTCCAGCTGTAGCTGGTCACAACCTACTCCTAGGAACAGGAGCCTTATGTTAGGGATGGGGGGGCACCCCAAACCCGGCTCCCCCCCATACAGGACCAAGAGGTACATCCACAGCAGGGCTGACATGCTGGAGGCAGGGCTGGACTTCCATCCCCACCTCTTGGTTTTCCAAGACAGGGTTTCTCTGTGTAGCCTTTGCTGGCCTGGAACTCACTCTGCCGACCATGCTGGCCTCCAACCCACAGAGATCCACCCGCCTCTGCCTCCCGAGTGCTGGGACTAAAAGTGTGTGCCACCACCGGCCAGCACCCATTCTCTCTTTACTGTGGACTGAGTTGTGTGAGCTTGTCAAGACACATTACAGCTCAGAGCCTCAGTTCCCCCCATCTCGCAGTGGCAAGTGACTCGGCCTCAGGTTGGTGAGTGGAGCCTAGTGGCTGCCAAGTAAAAGCACATGCCATCTGCTCTGAGGGTGGGTGGCGCCACTGAGCAACACTCCCTTCTGTCCCAGAGGAGCAAGCCTGGGGCAGGGTGGAGGCTCAGGGTGTGGGCTCGGCCCTGGAAGGGTGGCAGAGGAAAGGTGTGGCCGGAACTCCTGGAGCCAGGACTGCAGCTGGAAGGAAAGAGAGTCTCCAGGTGGCCGCCCTGGGCAGGCTGCCTACAAGGCACAGGGCCAGGTGGCTGGGCAGGGTCCCTGGCCTCGAGAGACCAGGGGTGTCCTTCAGGACAACGGGCCAAGCATTGTCCCTGATTACAAGAGGTGTTCTCACAGTCATTGTGTGTGTGTGTGGGGGGGGGGTGTGGGAACTGATCTTCAGCTCTAACTCAGTAGCAGCTGGGGTTGTGGCCTCACCAGCAGCCGCCATCCCTGAGCTGGTACTGTGCAGTGGCGTACAGGTGTGGGCACGCTTCCTCCTCACTTCTCCCCCTGCCATTCCTGGTGGAGTTTTATGGGTGCCAAGCCCCAGGCCTTGGGGAGACAGCGACAGGTGAGGTCCTTACAGGGTCCCTGGTCCTTTGGAGCTCCCAGGGTGGCCACAGGGGGTGCTGTCATTTGACTTAAGCATCTCAGGAACTGGCTTCTAGACAAGTCCCTGAAGGAGTACAAACCCAGGGCGGACAGATGGGAAGGGAAACTGAGGCCTAACAACCAAGAGCCTACCAGGCTAGGGTGGCAGGGAGAAACATCATTCGGCCCACAGGACAGCACATGCAAAGACAACCGTGTGACATGGCCATGGCTCTGTGCTCCTGCAAGCTGAACTCTCAGCCCCGAGGAGGAGCTCCAGGGAGGAGGTGAAAAGGGGCTGGTCCCACCACGGTCGGGGTGGTGCCTATGAACTTCCGGTACTACCAAGATCTGCCTGGGTCCCTCAGCCAATAAGGGAGGGGACGGGGACCTTCTCCAGGCTGAGGGGTCCTGTTGTTAAAGCCAGGGGCCTAGCCAGACACCAAGCAGAAATCAGGACGAGGCCTCAAACACAGATGGAAGACTCTAAGGAGGGTGTCGAGGCTGTTGGAGCTGGTGGGATTCAGGATTCCATGGGGGGTGGGGTGGGTTGTGCAGGAAGCCGAGACCCCTGGGAACAGTCTCAGGACTGGTTCTGGGATACAGTCACGTCTCAGAACTCATGAGTGTCCCTCAAGATGGCGAGAGGGCTCAAGGTGTAAAGGGCCTACCTGTGCAAGTCGGGCGACCAGGGCTCAATTCCTGAAACCCACAGGAAGGCAGGAGAGAAACAACCGCATGAAACTGTCCTCTGACCTGCACACTCCCACGGTGGCACACATGCCCGGTCTGTACATCCCCACGCGCACACGCACATGCACGGCAACGAACGAACGATGGTGATCATAATAATGCCAAAAACGTCTGGGCTGAAGACTGCTCTTCAGAGGACCCAGGCTGGGTTCCCAGCACCGAGGGATAGGGCGCCCTCCTCTGGCCTCCGTGGGCACCTGCACATACCCACTTGCATGCCCACACATACAAACGTATACAAATACACCATTAAAAATAAAAATAAGTCTTACAAAATGGAAACTTGGGCCCAGACCACCATCCCATCCCACTTGCTGTCCTGCCTTCCTCCCTTTTCTCTTCTCCCTCCTCTTTCTTTCTTCCCTCCCTCCTCTAGCCTCAGTGTCCCTTTTGTGTGGGAAAGGAGAGGAGCTGGGAAGAAAGATCAGGACAGCTCTAAAATTCTCCACGGGGCTCCTGGGATCTGTGTCTGAGGAAACATATGGGGTGGGGGTGGGGCCTGGAACCTGCTTGAGTCACTCATCCCTCCGTCAGAAGCCCCTGGAGTCAGGGAGGCCCTCCCGGAGTGAGGCACCGAGAGCGCCCGGTGCACAGTAGGTACTCAGTGCACGCTGTGCTGCAAGTCCTCTTGCGGCCCCAGCACCTTGCAAAGTTGCAGCCGAAAGGCCCCGCTACCCAGGGTAGCAACTGTTCCTTTAAGATCCAGGGCCCCTCACCCCGGAACCAAGTGAGCATTTACTGGTGCCTCCTTTCTCAAAGTCCTCAGTCACCACTTAGAAGCTGGACAGGACCAGGTCAGGAGCGCTGAGTCCAGGGGACAAAGCAGGTATCGCCAAGGCTCTGGAGAGGCAGCACCAAGTTCGGCTGCAGCTACCTACCGGGGAGCTTCGTTCAGCGGTGATGCTCGCAGCACCTCTCAGGGGTGCTGTTCACACATCTGCACAGCTGTGCTTTTAGTGACTTTATCTCCAACAATGGCTGTTCAGACGGTACATCAACAGCTTTCCTCCCGCTGGGGCTTTGAAGATGGAACCCAGGGCATCACACGTCCTAAGCAAGCCTCCTGCCACCAAACCACACCCTCGGGTTTCCCGTCCTTGTCCATCACGTGGATCAGATGGTGGCAAAGGAGCTCCTAACGGCTCCGGGAAGTGGCTATTAAAAACCTACAGCTGGATGGGAGAGCTCTCAGCACTTGAGAGCACTTGCCGTGCAATCGTGAGGGCTGGGGTTTGGATGCCAGCACCCATGTGGCAAGCCAGGTGTCCTACGCATGCCTGTAATCCCAGCTCCAAGTCGGGGGGAGACAGGAGGATTGCTGGGGCATGTTGGCACCTAGCTTAGCCTAGAAAATGAAAAACCTAGAGATAGGTGGGTTCAGGAAGATACAGCCTCCCACCCCCGAAAATGAACAGGCAGAGGGTGGCAGAAGAGGATGTTAGTCTCTGCACACGCACACACCCAGTCTGGATTCTTCTCTTAGTTCATCTTCTAATGTACACAGCCTTCCAGGTGAGCTGCGCTGTTGTGGATGATGAATGAATCACAGAGTAACTTACAAATGTTAAGCCTGAGCCCGTCCCCTGCCTGTCTGTCTGTCTCATGAGCTGACCACTGGCCTTTGGTATGCTAAGGATGCTGGGTGGCACACGTAAAGCTGGGACATCCAGATGTGCTGCGAGCTTGCTCTGCAATGCAGCACATAGGGAGGGCATCTTGGTGCCTCAGTTTACCTACTTAGACGAAAATCA